AGGATAGTTTTCACCACTGGCATTTTTACATTGGTTTTTGACCTCTTAAGTCCCTAAAGGGTAGTGAAGGGCACTTAAAGGATGACCAGAATGAAGGCGAAGAGGCCGGACTGACCTCACACACCTGGAGACTTCTTTCTCGTCCTCAGTTTCTTCGTCTAGAGGAGAAGACTGAATTGTTCTAATTTATACGGTTTCTTGAAGCACTGTTAATCCATTATTTAATTTAACTTTTTGTTTAAGATACAAGTTTAATTACTTTGGAATTCTAAAAAAGTGGATGGGATACAAATCACACTGACATTATCGTTAAAACTTTCATGAGGTTTTTACAGGGCTGAAATGTTGATTTATTAATGTGCTTTTTTTCATAAAAATTAATGATTTGGATCAGTATTTTTGAAGGAAGACAGCTACACCAGGTGTGTGTGTGTGTGTGTGTGTGTGTGTGTGTGTGTATAAAAATATGGGGAATTAGAGGCTGAGCTAGACTGAAGCAAATGGATGAAAGAAGTAGAATATCATATGTCCAAGTGAGTTTTGTATTAACTCTTGCTCCCTACCCTACTTTGGTGGTCAGCATCTATTTATTCTCCTTAGTATTCCTTTCATCCTATAGCTTCTGGTTCATTTGTTCTGTCCTGTAAGTCCAGAGTTCCCAAGTACAGTAAACTACTTAGACCTATTACATCCAAAATGCTATAAGAATGTATGGTCTAGTTTCCCTTCTTCATCCTCAAAACTCACATATTCTTTGTCTCTTCCACCATAAGCCCCACTGCTCAACTTTTAAAAGCAGCAACTAGATCATATGACAAATACATTTATGTTGTTGATATTTTAATTAGATGACTAAATTCTCTACTTTCTTACATTTACATTTAATATTGGGTGGGTGGCCTAAAAGAATGGCTGCACTTTTGCCATCTAACCCCAAACAGAAACTCTAGTGGGAAAATTTCAATCCAAGCAGAAGGGTTTACGTGAAAGCTGAAAGTAGAGAGGACTTAGGCCAGGGAGTTTTAGGGCTTAGATTATATAAAGATCCAAAGAAGAAGAACTATGACTTTAATTCTCATAAAGATAGAATGCTTAGTCTTAGATGTTACATGTGTAATGGGGAACATTACGTTTTGAAATAGATATATAAAAAAATATATAAAAAGATATATTTCCATATCTTGAAATTTTTTTGACCCATCACTGTCTATCTTTTATATACATGTTATACATATATAAAAAAATTATTGGGATGGGGTTTTGTACTACAACAGAAGAACAGAAGCCCCCTAAAACAAGGGAGTCATTTCACATCTTTGACTACCCAATTCTGTTTTGTTTGTTTGCTTATTTGCTTATTTTAGGTTCTAGCATGTTTGCAAGGTTGCTTAAAATTCTGCTCCCCTTCCAGTAGATGGTTTGTAGAAGAGAGACATCGATAAAGCCAGTAGGTCAACATATTCTTCCTAACACCCCATCCAAAGCATTTCAGACTGAATATTGGTGTGAGGTTGCTTGTAACAGCCACAGGGAAGTTTGAGAACACTGAGGCTACTGATCAACTTCCCCATGGCTATGGACACAATTGGTGTTTACAGCCAATCTGCATTCTGACTGGTCTGTGCTTGTATAATACTTTTGCCAAGAAATACTAGGATTAATCTGGACTTCTTTGGCCATCTGCACATGAGATGGACAGAGGTGAGAGAAGAGAGCTGGAATAGCTTCACTGAGGCACTACTCAGGAATCCCCATGGCCTCTTTGTGTCATGCCAGGTATCCCAAAGGGAGGCAGAGGTGCTGGAAGAGGTGGACTGATCCTTGAGTCAGGATAAAAAGACTATGTTGGGAAGGACCTCAAAACCCAAGGCAAAGGGGCAAGTTCGTGGCCTCCAGGAGAGAGTACCTGTTCATCATGGCCCATTTGCCCATTCCTGACCTGCCTCAAAGTCAACCAGTCCAGTAAATAGAAATAGACCGGACCTTTGATTAAAAAGATCATAGATGATACAGAGGATACTGCAGGGCTTAGAAGAGGAGGAAACTACTGTCATGAGGTCACATAAACCATACCTTTCCCCTATACCTAGATGCAATTTTGAAAAGGAGAATAAGAAGAGCAGAACTTTGAAAGATCAAACACTGCCCTGAGTACACCAAGCAGACAGAGATTGTGTTAAAGAGATTTCTTAAATTATTGCCTTAGATTAGCAATAAATTACTGGCCTGAGCTAAAATTTAATCCCTCCTGCCACCAGTTATCCATTAGTCAGGGGCTCATGAGAAAGAACAGATGAGTTATAGAGAAACAGAGTGCCTATCTGTTCCTTGCACATCTGAGCATGATGTGAATGATGTGTGGCTCAGCTGCCCATGATCTTTCCTCACTGATATTTTCTACAGAAGTTCCCGGGCTCAACTAGTGCCAACTGAACACAAAATAGGATATCTAAGAATGCCATTTGTCTCTGATCTGACAAATTATTTTATCATGGGGATCTACAGGATAAGTTAATGAAAAAATACTGTATGTAGGTAGATGATACATTTCTGAAAGGCAGAAATTGTATTCATATTTGCCTTTTGGTACGTAGTAGGCATTTAGTCACTGTTTGATAAATAGTGTTGGGTAACTACACATTTGTCTACAATAAACACTGATGCATATTGCTCAAAAGTTTCTTAACACTTGCTTGACAATGCAAGCATATGTACATTGTAGTTCTTTGAGCTTTTGGAAATTACTTAGATGTCCTAGGTCTGGTTAGAATTTTCAGGGATATGATCAGAAACAAGATCCTGATTTTGGTCTTATACCTAAGACAGTGTTTCAATAGTCCTTGGGCAGAAATATCTAGGTTTTATTAGAGAATATTTCCTTTTGTTCCATCCATCTGAAAAAGGACTGGTTTAAAATAAAGCTTAAAGTCTGCTCCTATCTCTGCTGGTGATAACTATGTCAAATTCTTTTAGCCTGTGAGTAATAGTTTATAAACCTCCTTCCTACTATAGAATAAAATGGCTGGACTTGGTAATTGGTCCCTAATCCAAATCTCACTGACAATTTCTAAACTACATAAATTATTTATCAGGATTTGAGGAGTATAAAGAAAGAGATTGAGTAAGGGAGAAATGGGATACAAGACTCTAGAGCCAAAGGCAGACAAGTTGACAATGAAAGATGAAAATTAAAATTTGCAAAGACTTGGTTGTATTAGAAAATGCACCACACACTATCATTTAGGGATACGGTAATCATCAGGTTTTCGAAAATGTAAGCAGATCACAGGAAAATAGTTGCCAACTACCACATTCCCTAGCTTGCATCTTTTGGCAAACAGAAGAGTCACTGAGGTAAGGAAGCATTCCTAAGGCCTTCCCAGGCTTGTAAGGGTTCTGGGAGTTAAGCAAAGAATGTACTGGAGGTGAGTGTGCCAACTTAACAGGACAAAAGTGAAGATTAAACATTCTGAACCAAAAAAAAGGGGAAGAAGCAGAGACCGGCTCTAAGACTATAAGAATCTTGTTAGCTTTATATTATCTCCTTGTTTATTCTTTTTTCTTTTATTTTGGCTTTTCTTCCTAATTTTAAGTGCTTTAGAATTAAAAAAGGTATAGTGAATTTGGTTTTAGGGGCAATATGGGGGGGCAGAAAACTGGCTAGTTTGTGCCCTACTCCACCAAACACTTGGTTTGAGAAAAACCCTAAGGGACAAAGTGGCTACAGTTACTAACAAAAGGTAATTACAGGCCAAGTTCTTTGATCCTAGGACCTAGCAGCAAAAAAACAAAAGAGAAATCTATGTGGGTTTGAGAAAGGGCCCTGGCCCCAAGCAGTAAAAGGACCCACAGGTACAGTATTCTGAAAGGCTGATTTTTAGTCTAATAGCTAAAAATCAATAATCTCTAAATTCCCTTCCCATTGCATCTATCTCGGTATGTAAAATGTGTCTCTTTCTCATCTGAGATTTTATAATCCCATTGTTCTTTCAGTGGAGTGAAATTCCCAGGTAAATGTTAAGCTACAGGAAGTCAGGGCCCTTGTCTGAGTGAATCTGTTCTATGTTCTCAGAGTTTAGCAAGTGCTAGAGGCATTGTGAATAAAAGAAGTGATGGAATATTGAATGATAACTATGCCCCTCAACCCTCTTCTTCCTTAATTTATGATAAAAACTGCCTCCAACCCATGAAGATTGGTTGGATGGGTTCCATCTCATGCTTAGTTTTATGGTTTTCCTCTTAGCACTTGTCTGTTAAACACCCAGCGCTCTCTTTTCCGGCAGTGTGTTTTCTGAGCTTGAATTTAAATAAACCAATTCACACAATGGAAAAAGTGAATGAATGGGCAATTTCATTTTACGTGATGATCCATTGTAAAAAAAACAAGAGAAAGCCTCTAATGGTTGGCATTTCATGTAAGGGGAAAGAGGAGATTTTGGCAATATAGGGTCTCTGGAGTCATCAAGCCTTGTGCACTGCAGATGGTCCTGATGCAGGGGAACTGATCCTAAGAGAGACTCTTCATCAGGAAGAGCAGGGTGCCCTTTTATAAGTATATGAACCACCAAATTCACAGCAGCTGCTCTTTTCCTGTTACAGAGACAATATTCTTTTGCTACAGCCCAGTGACTTCCCTACAATAATTTTGCCAAAGCTTAACAGGGGCAGAACACTATAAATACTGGGATATTTTATTTCAGCTCTCCAGTGACCCACAACCCATTCTTATTATTAATAATTCCTCTAAATTTTATCTCTGGAGCATTCAAGAAGAAGCACCATGACTTCTACACTTAAGGAAAGACCGGGCTGCAGATTCCTGTCCTGAATTATTTCCTAAGCTTCTTCGTTATTTACTGAGATTCCTGAAATGCAAACAACCACAGTGTTATCAGGCAAAGGCAGATCCCCAGAGCCTTTTATCATTCTGGCTGCAATTTTGCATATTTCCTTTATAACCAGACAGCATACCAAATGAAGCTAGACTCTTTAAAGGGAAATGAGGCAATTGGAATGTCAATTTTATTTAGTCGTATATTGTAAAAACTAAACAGCATATCCGGCTGATTGACAAAATCCATCCAACTGTTAAAGGCAAAACAAAACTATCTCAAGAGGTACAGTTATGCAGATCTTGCTTTTACCTACAGGCAGAGATTTAAAGGGAGACAGACAGACAGAATATTAAAGCAGAATGCTACATCTGGAATTGTCCAACTGATAAAATTCAGAGAGAAAGAGAGAGTGAGGGACTCAAACGCAGGGATATCATGTCATATTTTCTCTCTTCTTCTTCTTCAGTGAGCCTTTTAGCTTCTTCCACAGGCTGTCTTTTCGCTTCAGTTTCTTTTCCATTAGGGATGACATGGACTCTTTCTTGCGGATTTCCCTCACTAAGCCATGAAAGGCATCATCAATACAGAATCTGAGGGCTGCAGAGGTCTCAAAAAAACCACAGTTATATTCTTGGGCCAGACTCAAACCTTCTTCTGTAGAGACCTAAGGGAAAAATAAACGATATTAAAAAGAAACAAAGGAAGAGATCCTTCAATTAAAAAATATATGTTCTCTACTAGGACTGCGGGCCCCAGTAACATAAACAATGTAAATGTGAGAATTTATTTTAAGGGAAATTCCTAGAATTTCTGAACTTGAACAACAAATGAGAAATTAGAATCCCTGCAAAAGACAGCTGTTTAAAACTGATTATGAATGAAACTAGAAATTAGCTCTCCAGACTTCAAAGATGCAACATAGCATAGTGGTCAAAAGCATGGCTATAGATTAAAACGAGTTTGTTTCACCGCTTCGACTACTTTTTAGCTTTGCAAACTCGGGTGGGTTTCTTCTCCTTTTTGTTTCAATTGCTTCATCTGTAACAGGTGATAATAATACCTATTCAAAAGCTCTTTGTTAGGGTTAAATGAGATCAACTGTAAAAGGTACATGAACAAGCTGGGCACATATTTAAAATTCTACAAATGTTAGTTATTATTATAGTTCAGGGCTTTCCTTTAAGAATAATGACACGGTAAATTTGTCATGAAACTTTAAAAAACAATCTTCTAGCAAAAGAAAACAAAAAACAAAACACCACCGTTAGGATAAATAAGCCTTTGTCTAACCAAGCACCCCAGAGTAGGCTTAAAGCTCCATGAGTCTTTTGTGGCACTTAACTATGTCGTGGTTCATGCAACTGTAACGGATCTAGAGATCATAAACTGACTGAGGTCGGGGACATGCCTCATTTAGCATCCCTTTAGAATTTATTACAGCTCCTGATGCCTAAGTCACCATTAGAGATATTTGAAGAGTTAAAAGAATGATTAATAAAATCACCCAGGGTTTAATAAGTATTAACTAAGATATCAAGATAAATTACACACAGTTATTGAAACAGTGAGTGGATTATGTATCACTGAACTGATGCTAATATTCCCATGCTCCCATAAAGCCCTGCTGGATTATCAGTCTGAGACCATGAGTGACTAGACTTGGACTGCAGTGAGTGGAACTCCCAGCCCACCTATGTGGAATATGTATAACTAAGAAAAAAACTTTATTCTTTTAAGCTGTTGACATTTTGCCATTGTTTGTAAATCAGAGCAGAAACCAACTTTCTTAACTGACACACCACACTTAATGGCTAGTAAATAGCTGAGCTGGGTGTAAAAATCTGTCAGGTCTATCTGATTTCAAAGACAGGTCCTCCACTCTAGTCTGTGATAGATTAACCTCCCCAAGGGCTGTTAAATAGAGATGAATAACTGTCATATTTTAACTCTATAAGACACATAGTGCTTGGATTCTTCCCTTTTTCTTTTATTCCTGCTGGTAAACACACCTGTCCTTTTTGGAGCTCATTTCTATCTTATAGTAACTTAAGAAATGCAGCTAAAACAAGTAACTAAAGCTATTAAAGTCTGTCTTACCAGCAATGGAGCAAAGATATGTTTATGAAGTAACTTGACTGATTGTCAAGTTATCACAAGTGATAATCTTACCACATAGTTTGACACCATGTAACATGGGTTATCATTTATTTTTTAGTCATCCATAAGAATTTTCTCCACCCAGAAGCCAATGATGTGTATTTTACATTTTTCTGTAGCAACACAACATTTCTGGAACCATTTTCTATTAATCAGCTTTTATGAGGTTATACATAAACTAAAACAGCCTCAAAATCTCTGTGACTTACAAAAATATTTGTTTTTCTCTCACACTGTTCCTTGATAGCTGAGGAGTAAGTAGACTGTGGCATCTCAGCTCTAGGCTGTTGGTTAGGTTCTGATTTGTTCCTTCTATTCTCTTATTTTGGGATTCAGGCTGAAAGAGCACCTCTTATTTGGGAATTGATGTTGCCATGACAGAGGGCAGGTGTACAAGAAGCAGTGATAATTCTACCCACACCCCAGTGGCTAAATGACACATGGAGAAACCTAAAGTTGATGAGGCAAGATGTATACTCAGCTCACATTGAAGCATGGCAAGACTAGGGAGAAAATAAGGAATTATAAAGGAAAAATTGAACCTATCACAATCAATATAAATGCAGTATGCTCTTTAATTTAAAAAGACAAAGATTGCCAGGCCAGATTTTTCAAAAATCACTTGCAGTTGCAACAGTGTACACGTGAGGATACAGAAAGAGTGAGATTTGAATGGAAATTTATACAAAAAGAAAGCTGGTATAGTAACATAAATATCAGACTAAGTAGACCGTAAATAAAAACGACTGTTATTAAGGGAATATATTTTATAATGATGAAAATATCAATCTATTAGGAAGGTATTATACTTATAAACTTATATGTACTCAAAAATATAGCCTAAGTTTATATGAGGAA